TTAGCAGATATCTGGAGCGTTGCCCCAACTAATCTGTTGGTCGACCCGGATCGCATACCTGACAATGATGGGTAAGTCTCCCAACAAGGTTTTCTGTATTCACAAGGACTCGAACCCGAAATCTTGCTTAAACGACATCAAGCTTCTTACCACTTGTTGCCTTTTCTTTCTTACACTTTTCCAGTCTCACTTACGAAAAGTTGTCAATTTTGTGAAAGCCAGTTAGAAAATCCACCGAAAGGTGGATCACTACCAGGTGACAGCTGAATTTGTAAAGAACAAATTACACTTCTCCTCTAAGTATTAGGATATTATATATTCACATAAAAACGAAATTGTGTAAATTGAAATCAGTAACGACAAATAATTCGCTATCGAAACTTATATATATAATTAAAGAAAACAAAATTATTGTACCAAAAAAAAAAAGAAAACAAAATTATAATTGATTAAATCAACCAAATTTACACGATTTGCGTAATTAAAGTGTCTTAAAAATGTATATTTTTATGGCCTAATTATTTTTTTTTAATTATCCACGATTTGAGTAATTAAATACACAAAAAATGAATAACATTTATTAAATAATACTTAAACAAAAATTATCATTAACACAATTTTTTTATAATGTTTTTTTTTTTTTTTGCAAACCGCATAATTGATTATTGTTGCCTATATTTCTATAATTATAGTAATTATTTGCAGACTGAATAAAATCGGTCGAATTTATACAATTTACGTAATTTAAGTATATTAAAAATGCATATCAATAATTGTATGAAAATTATAAAACACTTATTAAATAACAAATTACACAATTTAGTTGGAATTTTTTACCAAATCACATAATTGATATTGCAGCCTAAATTTTCATATTTGGGTAAATTAATGAAGGTATCTTAAAAATAAATTTTAATGTGGTTTATTATTTCTTTAAATAATGAGCCGCAATTTATATAAATGATTATTTGAATTATACCACAAATTATTAAATTAATTTTCCAAAATAGTAATTAAATTTTTTAGAGAGAAATAGTTATAATTTAAAAAATAACCAAACATTTATATATAGATACCTAATTAAAGGTGATTAAAAGTTGAGATCATATATTGATTTTTCTTTCTTTTTTATTTTTTTTCCTTTGAGAAGAATATCAATAAAGTTAAACAGAAAAAAAAGACGGATTCTTACTTTTATCTGAATAATATAATACACAATAATTAATTCTTCGTATATTAATTAGTACACAATAAACCATCTGATGACTCCATATCAAAACTTAACATAAAAAATTTATGGAGCTATCGAATGGTTGTTTTATAGAGTCATCAATCACTTAATGTGTTGACACATATTCAAAGTTATTTATTGCAGGACACGTGCCAATACACTATTTGTGAATAAGTGTGCATGGATGGCTCCATAAGTCGTGTCATCCGATGACTCAATAGCAAAACTATCATAAATCGTGTCATCCGATGATTAATTCCATAAGTCGCACCATCCGATGAGTCAAGTGTTCAATCCTTTCTTGTTTTTATTTTCACAATTGTGTTTCCCTATATGCTTGGGGTTGTGTTAAACAGAGGGATTATGTCTGCATGCATGTTGGCCGGTTGTTACATATAGAATTGGGATATTAATTTAGATAGAAAACAACTCAAATGAAATAATTAGTTTATGTTCACCAAATCCTATATTGTAGAGCTCTATGTAATTTTCTGTCTATTTTTGGGAAAACTTCACGCACCCTAGTCTCCATGTCTGATATGTTTGTCTAGAACTAAATGAAAACGAATAAATAATTTCTTTAATTAAATATTATTCCCTCTATATATATATGATTATCTTATTTTAATTTACTTCCAATAAAAATATAATTAGGTTTTGAGTATCCATAAGTATATTGGATATTTATGACATTGGCTAATTTTTAGTATCATTTCCTATTCTAGGCGTGATTTATAAAGCATAAAATTTCTATGCCCATCTTTATTTTTTCCTCATATTTTTTTTAATAATTATAAAAAATGTACTAACTTATATAACTTATCAATGTAACTAAAAGTTAATGAATATTCTATTTATTATCAAATTTTTATATGTAATATATGAAATTGATCATGTCTTAATGAGCTTTGACTTGACATTTATATTATACATACAAAATAAATAAATAAATATAAATAATTTTATATAATAAAAATTAAGTTTCCCGTTAATATTAATTAAACAATTAAAATTAATTTAACTACAAAGTATTTATAGGATATAAATTAAAAATATTATAGTATCCAATGGTAAGTCGACGAGTGTCATTTTATTATAAATAAAAATAATATGACATTTTTAAAAAGTATTTGGAAATTATATAAGTTTTCTATTATTTTTTAGTTTAAAAATGAATTTACTAACAAGCACCCGTGCAATACATGAGTGTTGTACTAGTAAAATATTAGAGTAAAATTATAAAACACATACTTTAAATTTGACTATGAACCTTAGCTTCCTTCAATATGAGGAAATATTCTTTTAGGGTATATAAGCTTTTTCTAAGAAAATAGTCTCGTTGGATAACATTGATGAAAGAAAAAAATACTTTTAGAAAGAAAAAAAAAA